CCGCCCGCTCGTTCAGAGCGGCGTGGAGCTAGCACTTTCGGGTGGTGGTGTACGGTCGGCTCCCTCGGCTGGGGGTCTGCGCCGGCGCACTGCGCACCCAGCTGTCTCGAGCAACCCTGTGACGCTCAGGTGCCGCCCGCTCGCTCAGAGCGGCGTGGAGCTAGCACTTTCGGGTGGCGGTGCACGGTCGGCTCCCTCGTCTGGGGGTCTGCGCCAGCGCACCGCGCGCCCAGATGTGCCCAGCAACCCTGTGACGCTCAGGTGCCACCCGCTCGCTCAGAGCGGCGTGAGGCCAGCTAGCATTTTCGGGTGGCGGTGCACGGTCGGATTCCTCGTCTTGGGGTCTGCGCCGGCGCACTGCGCACCCAGATGTCCCGAGCAACCCTGTGACGCTCAGGTGCCGCCCGCTCGCTCAGAGCGGCGTTGGAGCTAGCACTTTGGGTGGCGGTGCATGGCTGGCTCCTTTGTCTGGGGGCCTGTGCGGACGCACTGCGCAGTCAGATGTGCCCTGCAACCCTGTGACGCTCAGGTGCCGCCCGCTCGCTCAGAGCGGCGCGGAGCTAGCACTTTCGGGTTGCTGTGCACGGCCGGCTCGTGCTTCCTCTAGATTCGCGATTGGTGCGCAACTCTGGCACTAACACGTGCAGGGTTGCATTCTGGGTTCGTTGGCGCTTCTCGCGCACTCGCGTCTTGATTGGCAATTGCGGCGTGTTCGACGTTCTGACCTTGATTTCCTTTTCTGCCGCCAGCGCGCCCAGATGCAAAAAATTGCAGCAATCTGCGCCGCAGATCTGCAGATTCGTTTAGTGTTCCCAGCGGTATGATTTTGGCCATTCTAACGCAAGCGCGCGTGAACTTGCATGCTGAGCCCGATTCGCATGCTCAGCGCCCGAGCGCTCAGATTCGCCATTGGCGCCCAGAATCATTCAGCTCTGCCCGCCCACAAGCGCCGCCGGGCGCAATTTCTTCGGTATGGTAAACAGTGCGCGGGCGCTCCCCAGTCTGGGAGTCTGCGCCAGCGCCCAGCGCCACGTGTTTTCCGCCAAGCGTTTTCGTCACGCTTATGTGCCGCGCGCTCTTCTTCAGAACAGCGGACTTTCGACACGCAAGGCTCCGTGGTGTACAGGCGGCGGCCGCTCCCTGCTTTGGGGGGCCGCGCCCACGCCGCGTGCCTTCTGCCGAGCAGCCCTGTGGCGCTCACGCTCGCTCCTCTTCTGAGCAGCGCGGAGCTCTCGACGCAGGCTTCGGCGTACAGTTGGCGGTCGCCTCCTAGGCGGTGTCTGCAGCCAAACCGCGCGCCTCCTGCCAAGCAGCCCTGTGAGCTCAGGTGCCGCGCGCTCTTCTTCAGAGCGGTGCGCAGCAGGCTCGCGCAGCGCTCCCTGCTTTGGAGGTCTGCAGCCACGCCACTCGCGATTTCTTCCTGGCACTCTGTGACCCTCAGGTGCTGCGCGCTTCTCATGTTTTGCCGCGCGCTCTTCATCAGACGAGGGCGGAGCTTTTGACGCACGCTCGCGGTGCAGTTGGCGGCCGCTCCGTACTTGGGTGTCTGCGGCAGCGCTGCGTGGTTTGTGCCATCCCCGGGGCCGCGCGCTCTTCGTCTGAGCAGCGCGGAGCTCTCGACGCAGGCTCCTGGCGCGAAGCCGGCGGCCGCTCTTTGTCTGGGGGTATGCGCCCACCTTCTTTCGAAACAACTCAGGTGCCGCGCGCTCTTCTTCTGAGCCGCGCGGAGGTTTCGACGCAACAGGCTCATGGCGCCCAGTCGGCGGCCACGCCCTGCTTGGGAGTCTGGGTTCACGCCGCGTTCCATGCACCAGGCAACCCTGTCACGCTCAGGTGTTGCGCGCCGCGTGGGACTTTCGACGCAGGCTGCACGTTCATCCCCCTAGGCGCTCCACCCAGAATTGCATTCTGAAGTCGGTTGCCCAGCGCCCACCGCCCAGGCTCGCAATGGCGTGTCAATTTCGCCTTTCTGGCGCTAACGCGCTCAGATTGCAACTCATGCAGTGCAGCCCGCTCGCGAGTGCAGCGTTTGGCTTATCACCCTGTGCTCACTGAGGTTGTGGCAGCGCGTCATTCTGCACCCCGCCTGCCTTGCGCAGTGCAGCGCCTGGCCACGGTTGCCAACCGCGTGCAGCGCTCCATTGGTGCTGCGCCGTCTGGCCCCTTCGCACCTCCTGCCTTGCGCAGGTGGCGCGTGCTGCTCCAGATAACAGCCCCGCGCGGCCGCCGTCCGTTGCACCTGCGCAGCCAGCAATGCATTTGGAGCACGGGGCCTGGGTTCTGGCGCCAGCGTGCCCCGAAGATTCGCGAGCGCAATTTACGCTTCCGCGTGCTCGCTAAGACTGCAATCTGTGCTTTCAGTGCTGGCGCAGCGTCTTTGAGCGCGCAGCAGCAGAGCATTCGCTGGTTGCCAGGTTGCCATTCAGTGGTCAGGCCCCTGCGCTGCTTCTGGCGCTGGCGCGCCCAGGAATGCTTTCCGAGCCTCGATTCAGCGCGGATTTCCGGCGCCAAGGTGTCCAGACTCGCATTCTCGATTTCGCGATTCGCGCGCCTGCGCCGCGCATGCTTAGCAATTGCCTGCGATTTGGCTTTCGTCGCCCGTTGGTCTTGGGGCCTTCACGCCATTTCGTGCAAACCTGCCGCTCAGGTGCTTCGCGTCAATCGCACCAGCGCAGCGTGCCCCCGCCTTGTTTCGCACTAGTTTCTGTCCATGCGAAGCTTATAGAGGGATCCGTTCACAACACCGGACTGGATCAAGCAAATGAAACGCTCATTCGAATGTTACCTGTTCGCGCAGGAGAGCAGACCACGCCGTGCCGTGCAAGCAGCGTTCGAACCACTTCCTTTGCACGGAGGAACAGTGCAGAGGACGCAGTTTGCCTCGAATGGTGCCCGCGGCAGCGGCTCTTCAGCCGCTGACTCAAATACTGCATCCACAAACTTTCTTTTGCCTCTGTGGGGTAGGTGGCTCTCCCTTGCGGAGACGCTGCCGTGGCCTGTGGCAGATGCAGCACCCCCAAAAGAGCCACACTTCGTGGCATTGAAGTTTTTCTCCTGCGCGCTTCGCGTCTGCCAAGTCTGGATAGAGAAGGTGCGAAGCGGAAAGCGGAGCTTCTGAGGAGGCTGTGCATTCGGGAAGCAAGGTTTTCGCGGGCACCCTTCGTTCTCCATCTGCTTCGCTCCAGGCTGGTTGGTTTGGTTGGCATTGGATGATCAGGAGCGTCTTTGCATCGATTCTCTCCTGGGTGATCATTGCCTGTCCAAGAGTTACCTCCTGTTACTTTTCCATTGCTTTTGAATCGATGGATTCCTTGCGCGCAGGCCCAGGGGATGCTGCCGCGCGTCTCGCGGTCCCTCTGGTTGGGGTTCGGATCGTCCCCACGCAGCCGAGATCCACGTCCTCTGTCGACGCAGTCCCCGCGTTCTCTGTCTTGGGGCGCTCGGGCCAGACCTCGTCGCTCATTACTCTGCAATCCTGGGGCGCTCAGGTGCCGTCCGCTCGCGCAGAGCGGCATGGTGCTCTGCATCTTGGGTCGCGGTGCGCGGCCGCTGCCGGCGCGCCGTGCGCTCAGTCGCGGGACCAAGCAACCCTGTGACGCTCAGGTGCCGTCCGCTCGCGCAGAGCGGCATGGAGCTTTGCATCTTGGGTCGCGGTGTGCGGTCGGCCGCTGCGCCCGCGCACCGTGCGCTCAGTTGCGCGACCAAGCAACCCTGTGATGACGCTCAGGTGCCGTCCGCTCGCGCAGAGCGGCACGGAGCTGTGCATCTTGGGTCGCGGTGTGCGGTCGGCCGCTGCGCGGGCGCACCGTGCGCTCAGTTGCGGGACCAAGCAACCCTGTGACGCTCAGGTGCTGTCCGCTCGCGCAGAGCGGCACGGAGCTGTGCATCTTGGGTCGCGGTGTGCGGTCGGCCGTCGCGCCGTCGCACCGTGCGCTCAGTTGCGCGACCAAGCAGCCCTGTGACGCTCAGGTGCCGTCCGCTCGCGCAGAGCGGCACGGAGCTGTGCATCTTGGGTCGCGGTGTGCGGTCGGCCGCTGCGCTGGCGCACCGTGCGCTCAGTTTTCCGCAACCAAGCAACCCTGTGACGCTCAGGTGCCGTCCGCTCGCGCAGAGCGGCTCCGAGCTGATATTCTGATGTGCTTTCTGTGTTTCTCGTGTCTTGCTATTTCATTCTCGCCTCCCCTTGCTCCTTATTTTTCTCGCGCGCGGGCTTGGGTTGGTTTGGGCTGCTTTTCTCGCGGTCCCTCCCGCCCTCCCCGCGTGGCGAACGTGCTGGCCGCAATCCGCTTCCCTTCGGGGGGGTAGGTGGCTCTCTCTTGCGGAGACGCTGCCGTGGCCTGTGGCAGATGCAGCACCCCCAAAAGAGCCACACTTCGTGGCATTGAAGTTTTCCTCCTGCGCGCTTCGCGTCTGCCAAGTCTGGATAGAGAAGGTGCGAAGCGGAAAAGGAGCGGCGCGTCCGAAGCTCCCTGAAAGCAGCTGCGCCTGCGTGCTCCCTGATAGGAGCCAGCGGCGCCTAGCGCTCCCTGAAAGGAGCTGCGCCTGCGTTCTCCCCGACAGAGAGGTCGGAGCAGACGCCGCGTGCCCGCGGATTGATGTGGGTGCAGCCGCAGATGCAAATACTGAGCGGAGATGCTCAGTTCGATGGTGGGTTTGCCCTGTTGTCTGTACTGCCGCGCCCCTATGACGCCCTCTGCTGGCCTGGATGGCGCATTCAGGTCGCAGAAGGGGATAGGGGGCGGAAGGGTTCTTCTGCTCTTTCCTTAAACAGCAACTCGCCTCCAGCGCCGGTCACGTGACGTGCGCCGCGGGCGCGCGGCCATTTCTGGCAAGTGCTTTCACATGAAGATATTCAGTCGGAAGGACTGGCCATTGCTGGAGAGTTTGGTCATTACCTGTCGCTTTTTAGGCTCAAGTGAACCGCTCCTGCTGGGATTGAAATCCTTCTTCGCACTGCAGCGTGCTCCACAGGTGTAAGTTGCAATCCAGCCGTGCCCACCATGGCTTTCTCTTCCGGCGACGTCTCTGCCATGATTGCCACTGCGCCGAGCGGGGCCTTTAACAAGGCCAACGCTGACCAGATCCGCGATTGGGTCGACTTCGTGCTGAATATCGAGCCCAACGCGGCGGAGAAACACGACTTGTTCTACTACGTGTCGGTGGCTCGCCTCTTGGCGGAAACGATCGGCAGCACCTCGCTCTCGGATTTCGAGGGTCCACACATGCGCGAGAAGATTAAGGCAGCGATTGTTGTGAACGATTTGCCGTGCGCCGCAGAGCAGGATCCAGCATGGAAAGCCTGGAAGGTTTCGCCGGCACAGGTCGTCTTCGCACTCAAGGTGCAGACCAAGTGCGCCCAAGCTGCACCACCCGCCCGCTCGGCTCCAGAAGCCGGCGCTGGGAGCGACGTGGCAGGAATGGCCGAAGCTGTGAAACAGCTTGCAGAACTACGGACCCAGGCGCTCCAGAAGGGCAAGCCGAAGGGACTCAGCTTCAAGCTTCAAGACAGGATCGTTGAAGTGGGCTTGCAGAATTTCGATAAAGACACCCTCCCGTCCGAGGAAATCTTGGCGAAGTTCGAGGCCGGAGCCAAGATCGCCAACGACAAGGGCCGGGCTTGGATCGGCTCTGCAGAAGGCGAAGATCTCCGCGATCATCAACGCCCAGCATGAAGTCGCACCCCTCTCGTCGACGCGGTCGTGGGCGACGGCTCCTACGAGGATCGCGTGAGACAGAGTGCGGCCGCCAAGCGCGGAAGCGCTTGGATCGATAAAATCGATTACGTGAGCTTCGCGACCTTCATGGGGCATCTCCACGAGTGGGGTTTCAAGGTGATCCTCACGAAGGCGTGCAGCATGGCGGACTTTTTCTCCTACGTGCATATTATGATCCGCATCGCTGAGGAGAACGGCGGGGTCAGGACGGCGTTTCAATACGACGCTCTCCAGCGGAGGGCCATGGCCAAAGCGCTGGAGAGGAACGAAACCGATTTGAGTAGGTACCTTACAAGGATCGATGTTGATCTCCTGCGCACGGCCAAAGACAAGGTAGATAAGCGCTTCGCGGAGCTCGCTCGTGCATCTGGCGCGCCCAAGGGTCAGTCCAAGGGCCAGCCCAAGGGCGCCTCCAAGAGCTACGGCGACGGGGGCAGTCATGCCTCCAGCAGCGCATCCTCTGGCGGCAAGGGCGGCAAGAGCGCTAAGGGCGACGACCGGCGCGTGCGTTCGCCGCCCGCGCGGCACAAGGGCAGCGCTGATGGCGGCCAGCAGCATCGGTCGCGCAGCCCGCGCGCTGGATGGCAGCAGTCGGGCCAGTGTGACAAGCAGTCCTGGAGCAAGTGAGCGGTCACGCCGCTCGCTGACAGTGCCGACGGTCAGCAGTCGGAAAGCGAAACAGGGGACGATGAGCCCATGGAGCGCTCTTCGGCTCGTCCCAGCGCTGCTTTTAAGCATTCTAGAGCTGGGCTGTCACATGTCGGTGCGCGTGTACTTGGCTTTCTCGCTCGCGATGATTTGCATCGCCTAGATCCATGGGATCACTTGGAGTGGGCGTCGGCCTTGCCTGTTTGCGCAGAAGTTCCTCTTTTGATCGCCCCCAAATCGCGTAACGATTTGGGGGGCAGGAAAATCTCCAGGGAGGTTGCTCGTGGCCTCTCCGCCTCTTGGCCTCTCGGCCTCACTGCCTGGCAGTGCCCTTGTGGCACGGCGGATTGGGGGGGTCCCCTCTGTGCTAATAAGCTGGGGCCGCGCGCGGCTGGCGGACCGCGGCGTGGGGATGCCATGTCGTCTCCTCTCCTCGCTGCTCCGGCTGGCTGGTTGGCGGTTGTGCGCGCGCGGGGGCGAAGGTTGTCGCGCTTCGCGGCGCGGCCTCGGGGGGCCGTGCCTTGGTGGTGCGTGGTTGCGCGACGATAAATGCGCTTCGCTGCTCGTCGTTGGCGGGCTTCCGTGGTGTCTGGCCCGCAGGACGGGCGTGGTCGAGAAATGCTTTCTCTGGCCCGCAGGACGGGCGTGTCTCTGGCCCGCAGGACGGGCGTGCTCATTTTCGAAAGCTGCGACCGCGTGACAAGATTGACCCCTGAATTGCACTCGGCTCGTAAATCAGCGCTTGCTTACTGGTCGGAGAGGAAGCGAGTGACGGAGCCCTGCTGGCAACGCGCGTTCGCGCAGCTGCCAGCGCACTGCCAAGGTGTGTTAGGGCCCCGGAAAAATCTTTTTCTCCTTAGCGAGATGCTTGAGTCCATCAGCTGGCCAGACGCCACGCTGATTAGCAATTTAATGCACGGTTTTCCTCTTGTCGGCTTGCTCCCAGCGAGTGGGATGCGCGTTCCGACAGGGAACGCGGCGCCGGAGGTAACCAAAGCTGCTCTATTGGCCACTGCGAGCGTTCAGAACAGACGCATTTTGCGGCGATCGTCTTTGCCACTCGGGATGGACAGATCTGTCTGCGAAGTTTTTGCTTCTGCATGCGACCGGGAGGTCGCGGACGGCAAGGCTAGAATGCGTCCGTTGAACATAGAAACTTGTGTTTTAACCCCGAGATTCCCAATCGTGCAAGGTTGGAAGACCGTAGGCTGGGAAACGTTTCCCAAAGTTAGATGCATCGATGATTTTTCTGCGTCGCGTATCAATGAAGGCACGCAAGTATCCGAGAAATGCTTCCCGAAACGCTAGACTCACTTGTAGCGCTGGTGTTGAAGCTCACAAAATCAAGAACAATGCGCATTCGTTGGCGCAAAGATGATTTTGTGCAAGCCTTCAAGACACTACCAATATGCAGCTCTCACCTTCCATTGGCAGTTGTCGTGTGGCAGGAGGCGTTGGCTAAAGACCAGTGTCTCCAGCTCCTGGCAATGCCCTTTGGCTCTTCCGCCTCCGTGTCCGCCTGGGAGCGGTTCGGTTTGGCAATTCAGGGCGTGCTTGCGCAGATTTTCCTAGTGCTGTACCTTCGCTTCGTCGACGATCTGTTTTCGGGCGACGCGATGGAAGAGCAAATAGATGTTGGCGGAGACCCTCTAACGGGCCCTGCTGGCACTGCCAAGCAGGCCAGGTACGTAATTTCAGATCTTCTGGGCTGGGATTTGGATGCCGCCAAGGCTGTCACAGAACAGCCATCGGCCACCATTCTCGGCGTCGGCGTTCGTTTTGATGACGCCCGCCAAGAGATAGTTTTTGACGTGGGTCCGGAGAAGCTCGAGTTGTGGAGCTCCCAAATCGTCAGGGCCCTCAAAGCGGGCGCGTTGCCGCCGGCAGAAGCGCAGAAGCTGGCCTTGCGTTTGAATTGGGGTGCCAGCTCAGTTTTTGGCAAGGGAACGCGTGCTCCGCTGGCAGCTTTGTTCTTTCATGGCGCAGGCCGCACCAGCCGTCTCACTGCGAGGACGAGGCTCGCGCTCATATGGTGGCGTAAGTTTTTGCAATCGCCACCCTCGCAGCGTGTACCGCTGCAACTCCGCGAGCGCCAGCGGTGCATTTTGTACAGCGACGCAACCGGCACTGGCATGATGGCGTGGGTGCTGCACGCTCCTTTCGCCAAAGTCTGGGCCGCCACCAGGGTGCCCGACAGCGCTCGCCAATGGGCACACTGGCGAAAGAACCAAATCGGCACCTGGGAGCTGATGGCAGCGATCTGCGCATTGAAATGGATTCTAAGCATTGGCCAAGCAGATCTCGAGATCATCTGCTTCGTCGATAACAAAAGCGCATTGGGTGCGCTTGTGCGAGGTTGCTCGCGGAAGTCCGATTGGAATTGTCTGATTGGCAATCTGTGGCTTCTCGTCGCCGACAAGGCGCATTTCCTGCATCTTTGGTATGTGCCTTCGCATTTGAATCTCGCAGATGCCCCCGCGCGGCCGTCTGAGAAGGCAGAGCAAATTGCCGAGCTGCAGGCGCGAAATTTCCAACGCGTTGAGTGGCTGTTTCCGCCGGATGCACCCTGGGGCGGCTGAGAAAAAAATGAAACAATAACATGTGCACAGGTTCTGATTGGAGGAAGAATGCCCTGCGCCAGTCTTGCCTTCTCCGTAGTATCGGCTCAATGCTTAGTTTTGTAAACGAGAGCCGAAGCAAGCGTCTGCGTGCTGAAGGTGCCCGGCCAGGGCAGCCGAGCGATGTGAACTCGGTTTTCGCTCGCGTGCTGCAGGGCGTGGCTGGCGTGAATATGGTTGATATCTCTGGTCTCTGCGAAGCTCTGGAGAACGGTGGCTTCCAGCATTTGTCTGATTTGGGCGGTTTGGAAGCAAATGAATTGGTAGATCTCGTCCCTGCGTTTTCTGGACAGAACGTTGCGCTCGTCAAAGACTTCTTGGCGCAGTGTCAGTGCCAGGCCGACCGGGAGTAAGCGGCCGCGGCGTGCCGACAGGCAACGCTCACCGAGGCTGCCTCGTCCTCTTCAGGGGCTGGGGCAGAGGCACAAACCCGAGTTGCGAGCCAAAGCGATCCACGTGAGGCAGCCAACGGCGAGCAAGGTCGTGCTGGCTTGATCTTGCTTGGTGAATCGCGCCGTGCTCGCGTTGTTCCCGAACCTCCTGTGCTAGCAGCCGCGCTGGCGGCCGCCGCCCGCTGCAATTGCTATCCAGGGGCGGAGCCAATTGGCAGGCCCCGTGAAGAAGTCAAACGTGCACGTCGCGATGTTCCTGGCGGAGATCATCTCCATCTCCATACTCTGTGGGTCGAGTTCGCTGCCTGGCGAAAAAGTGCTCCACAATACGCTTCCGCCGTCCGCTTGTGGGGCGAAGCTGCCAGGGCCATTTCGGCGCCCAGCTGGCCACCGTCCGAATCTGTTCTCAATGCCTTTGTGGGGTTATTCCGTAATGGGAACAGTTTGCAAAAATATGTTTCTCATGTTCGCAGTGTGCTCTACCTATTGCAGGCCCCTCTCGGTGTTCTCGACGACGGAGAAAAGCTGGCCAGGGGCGCCGAGAAAATTACCCGAGACGTATTCAGGAGAGTGAAGATCCGGGCGACGGCGGAAGAAACCAAACTCATCCGCAAGTGGTGCGCTGAAGCTGGATATCTGCTGTTGGCGGCGTCGTGGGTGATCGCTCGCCAATTTTGTTTGCGTTACTCTGAGTTGCTGCTCCTCGGGTCAAATGTTGTGACATTCCGCTTCAGCGGCGATGAACGCAAAACCTGTGTCATTCGTTTCGCGCATCGCAAATGTTACAACGAACCGTGTGAGACAACCGGATGTTGTATTTGTCAGCTGCAAGGGCGCTCCTTGTGTGGCGTCTGCGAATTATTCTCTGTAGGAGCAGCAGTGTCGGTCCCCTTCGCAAGCGTGCAATTTGCCGACGCTCTTGCTGTTCTCAAACTTGCAGCAGCCGCTTTGCAGTTGCGGAGTGCTGCGGCCTGGGGCACGCGCGCTTTCAGGCGAGGCTTTGCCGACGAGGCGCTCCAACAAGGAGGGCCCGCAGCTTTGTTTTTTAGTGGTGGTTGGAAGGGCGTGGCGGCTTTCGGTTACGTCAGCGCCCAAAGTCGCGGTGCTTTGTCGGCGGCCGAATGGCTAGTTGACCACTCCGACTCAAGTGACGGCGAGCAAGCCTGACTGTGGCATCGTGCGCGTGGGGTTGTAAAACCAATAGGAACAGGAAGCGGTCCTCACGATGTACCCCTGCCAGGCGCTGCCGCGCAGTCCGTCGCCTTCTGGTGCATTGGGAGCCCAAGGGGCGGTATCCCAGAAGGCTCCTGCCAGCCAGGCAGCGCCGTTCACACGCCCTATGCTGGCGCAAGGACGCCGGCCATTCTACAGTGGGCCTGGCTACCGCAATGGTTTTCATGATTCATAAACTCGTTTATGCTGCAGGAAAACCGTGAGGAGCAGCCCCACGTGTGTTTGCCTCCACTCCTCAATTCCTGCGCGCTCAATGCCTGCGCAGCGGGCTGCGGTGTCGGCGGCCGGCGGTTTCTGCGCGAAGCGGCGGAAGTATGCTCACCTTGCTCTGTTCGTGTGCACTCTGGTGCGGTCTCGCATGGCGGTTCGCCCGCGCTGCTCGGGTCTCGTCTGCTGGGCCGATCGTGTCTCGCAGTTCTCTTCTGTTGCTGCTCCCGTGCGCTGGCTCCTTGAAGCCAGATCGAGAATGCTCGCTGATACGAGCAGCGGCAAAACAAAACTCGCTGACAGCGGCTGCACAAACAAGACAGGCTCCCTGATAGGAGCGGCGCGTCCGAAGCTCCCTGAAAGGAGCTGCGCCTGCGTGCTCCCTGATAGGAGCCAGCGGCGCCTAGCGCTCCCTGAAAGGAGCTGCGCCTGCGCTCTCCCCGACAGGAGCGGCGCCCTAAAGCTCCCTTGCGCGTGTTCCCTGACAGGAGCAGCGGCCGAAAACTCCTTGACGGGAGCGGCGCCTCAA